GATAAGCCTTGAAGAATCAACCACTACACGCCATTATCAAGGAGTGAACATGAGGCGCTCACTTTTTTGACTCTAGCGCGCATAGAGTATGGTGAGGACGCCGCCAGAGCCGGCATCTGGATCATGCTGATTGTGTCTGTAGCGAGGTGAGTCTTCCAAGCCAAAGCTAGGAGTGTTGTGCCATAGGTGCTTGGAGACTTGAGAAAGGGAAAAACTCCTAAGTTAATGCTCTTGGGTGGCTACTACATCCGGAGGAAAAAATCAGTCTTTGATGTAAGATTGCAGATGTCACCATGAATCTTCTATGTGAGTTACCAAAGACTTCTTGAGTGGATGATTCAATGGTGGTTTTTGTGAACAAATTGAGCAAGATGATTCACATCAAGCTAACCACAAAAACAGTCATAGCTCCACAACTAGCTCAATTCTATGTAGATGCAGTTTTTGCAAATCATGGCTTAAACAAACTGTTAATCATGGTATAGGTACTCACTTCACTAGTTTATTTTGGAAAACTTTGTTTAGTTTTTTCAAAACAAAACTAGCAATTTCAACCGCCCATATACTCAACGTGATGAACAAATAGAGATGGCAAATAGAACCATAGATGATATGCTACGATCATTCACATTAGAAAAGCAAAAAAAATGGTACAACATTTTGACACTTGTGGAATTTGCATATAACAATTTTGTTAATCCATCCACAAAAGTGTTTCCATTTTATCTCATGTATGAAACTCATCCCACAATTTCTTCAAGTTTTATGTGACTTTTGAAAGGAGATGAGTTTTCTACCAAAGTGCAGCAGTCAATGAGTTTGTGGACCATATTCATCGAGTACTACATCAGGCCAAGGAGAAGTTGATGATAGTTCAAAATCGGCAAAAACAGCATGCCGATGCTCATCGTATAGAAGTGGTTTTTGAGTTAAGAGATCATGTTTGGTTATCTACAACAAATTTCTTCTCTCGTAGGAACACTAAAATTGAACACTAGGTTCATTGGTACATTTTTTGTTTTGAAGCGTGTTGATGAATTGTTATACAAGTTGGAACTTCCGTCACATATGAAAATACATCTCGTATTTCATGTGTCACAATTGCAAAAATATCTACTACGACCAAAACAATTCACCAACCAATCAATACCACCTCATGTTCCAACCTTGATAGCAGATCAAAAGTAGTTTAAGGTAGAAAAGATACTTAATGAACCAATCAATACCACCTCATGTTCCAACCTTGATAGCAGATCAAAAGTAGTTTGAGGTAGAAAAGATACTTAATGAACGTAAATGTCATAAATATCCCAAAATACAATATTTGTTTCAATGAAAAGTATATTCATCATATAAATCAACTTGACAACCAGCTAAAAATTTAGCAAATGCAACTTTGATAGTTCAGTTTTTTGAGCGTATATGCAACGAGGACGTTGCATCTTAAAAGGAGGGAGGTTTGTAACCATATTTAGTTAGTTAAAACTAAAGTAGAGATTGCTCTAAATGATATACACACTTTAGCGTGCACTAGTCATAGCTACCACGTTAGCGATCCGTGTGCTCTCTAAGTAGAGAGTAGGTGTGTTAGTTGATAGCATCACGTCAGCGATTTGTGTGATTATTAGATAAGGATTGAGTGTGTTAGTTAGTGTATTCGTTGGGAGCATCACGTCAACAATCCGTGTACTTGTTAGGTTTATCCGTCACGTCATCCATCCACTAGTAGTGGAATATATGGTGGAGATAAAGTTTTATCTCCTTCTACTTGTTGGTAAGAGCTATATAAAGGAAAGGAAAACCATTGTTAATATCTTTCATCTTCAAAGTTTATGTTTCCATTTTCGAGTGAACTTCTCTCTAAATCCTAGTCTTAAATTAGAGCTATGAAGGAATTCGGATGCGGCCAATGTCCCAGCTAGAGAAGCGATGTTGTTGCCGTGGCGGACAAGAGGCCTCTTGAGGTAGTCCGCGATGAACAAGGAGTAACACCTGACATCCTACCGTTGATGCTAAAGTAGGAAGAAGCGGCAATAACAGGTTGTATGACACACTCGCGGTCAGTTCGTGTAACACTAGGGTTTAGAGAGAAGTTCATTCGAAGATGGAAACATAAACTCTTGAGATGAGAGATACCAACAATGGTTCTACTCTTCCTTATATAACTCTCACGAACCTCTTTATAGGTGATTTATCGCTAATACATCAGTCGACTGTCTGCAATGCTTACGTCCGCTGTCCACACAAGTTGTGCGGACAGCGGCCGTAAGCATTAAGCATTGCATCGGCTGTAAGCTGATGAGGCCTACGTTGTGCGGCACAACGTAGGCCTCATTGGAGCCTACAGGAAACCAAAGGGCACTTTGCGATCTCAAAAGCTATCCCTGTTCTAAAATCGCCATCATCAATTTTGACGATAGTTTGAATCCGTTGAACGATGTCACTCGAATCGGACAATGAGGTCGCTCCTGCAAGCGAAAGCGAGAAAATAGTTATTACAAGAGCAAAGTGATGACGACGATGAGCTTGTCCGGACTATCACAGTCCTCAAACGTGCCCGGCCTAATGCGGCAAAAATTTCTTGGACGCACGCGCATACGAGCATATGTGACGGCCGTCGCAAATGCAACGTTGGAAGCTGCACCTTGCACTTGTCACTAAAGACGACAATTGGCGTCATTGGTAAGCTCTCGAAAAAAATCATGGGAACTCTGCAAAATCCGCAGACGCACGCTGTGCAGATCAATCTAGCACGCAGATCGTTCTGACGGAGTACGCTTCCATCAACAAATTGCGTTCGGCCCGCGTAGATAGTTCTATGGCTGAATACGTCGTTGAATCGACGTTGCCACACGCACATATCGAATCGAAACTGTTCAAATCGTTCATGAATGTTTCGATGCCCGGCTATGTCATCAAATCAGCTCGCACGACGAAAAGGTGCTATCTGAAAATGTACATCGTGCTGAAATACTTGATGATCGCACTATTCAAACCCTTTGCAGCTAAATTATCCATCATCTACGACGGTTGGTTGAACACGATGACGCGATTTTATTCGATGACGATACATTGATTTCACTCTGCAACTGGCGTTATTGTCGATACGTTGTTTGATTTTTTATACATATTTCCTGGTGCAGAATGCGGCTTGCGTTGTGCCGTGGTCATTTTCAATTTGCTCTTTGTGTTCGGCCTGGGCAAACGGCTTCTCATGACTGTATCTGACAACGGCTTTGACGCAGTTAACGCTGGAATGCATTTGTCATCCATGCTGCGCAATCACTTCGGATATGAAGTGTTGCCGGATGATTATCGTTTGCGATGCTTCACACATTCATTCTAGCTCGGTATAAATATTGCGGTTAAGGTCATTCAACCGTCTATTGCAATGTTACCCAAAGCGATCTTCATGCTTCGTAGTGGTAAGGCTTGACGTGCAACGTTTCGCCGTTTTGAAATTGTTGCGTACTAGCGCAATATGGATCCACCATGCTTAGACGTCGTAACAAGGTGGGGATCCACAAATAACATGCTCATAGCATCGCTGATATGTCTCCAAGCAATAACAATGACAGTTGGATTCGCAGATATTGCCAAGGATTTTGTTGACGTTGATATCGATATGTCTGATGACACGACCTGGCTGCAAGCGGCGCCGTTAGTCGAATGGCTAAATGTTGCATCCAAAATTTCTACCGTCATGGGCGGCGTGAAATACTGCACAATGAGTATGGCACAGATCACTGTCAACGAAACTGTTTATCATTGCGACGAATTTATTTCAAGTGATGATCTAGTGGTCAGTGAATGCAGCGAGGTTTGTCGTGCGACAATGATGCCATATCAGCAACGTTTCAACAGCCGGCCTGCTCGTATTTTGCACTTTCTGGAATTTCGCCTATCGAAACCATCTGCTGAGTGTGAAGCGGCGATCACATCCATCAAGTTCTTGATGACTACGGCCTATTTTGAGGCGGTTCAATACAAAGCTGCACGTGCGGCATCGCGCGTTCATCCAAGTGAAGAGGGTCAACCTGGTAGCAATCTGACGAGAATGGCAATGCTTCCCAAGGCACGTCGGCAGCATCGAGCAGAAACTGATGAAGATACTGAAAAGGATACGTAGCTCACAAACACGGAAGTTAATCGCTACTGCAAGTACCCGATTGTTCTGGATGATACAGTCGTGTTTGCGTGATGGATCGCGTGTCCATTATCAAGTGCTTTTTGTTATTGGAATGGATTACCTTGGCACGCCTGAATCCTCGATTCAGGCGATTCGCTGGCAAAACGCATCTTTCACGATCGTGTGATGCTACATGAAGCAACATTCAAGGCCGAGATCTGTTGCAGCTTATGGTTGAAAACGCTCACATAGCTCAACATTGACATGCCGACCGACTGGAACATTGCGTGCAAGGAGTTGAGTGACGAGAAGGAGATCAATCTTAAGGAGGCTGTTGACGAAAATTCGATCATCGAGTATATGTTGAACAACAATCATATCACCAAGACCTGTCTGAAGGCTAAGTGGAAGACTCGTCGTGAACGACGCCGCTGAGGTATGAAAGCCCAATAACTATAACACTCAGCACTGATTTATTAGTGACAATTTCGACCCACTTTGGAAGTTGTTGTCAAAATGGCTGGGGAAGCCGGTTTCTGTCATGGCGATCGACTCCGAGCTGGTGCCGGCGCCATGTACTAGCGGCTCCAGCCGAGCCGGGCACTACTATGTGTATATATTCTTCTCTACTAGCGTAGCTCTTTCTTGTAACGCTTCAATACCGCTGGCTGTTAACTTACTCTGCCACGAATAAAAACAATACTATGTGTCAACCACTTGTTGGCTGAAGACCAAAACTTACTTCATGCAGCTATCAAAGGTGCATACATCCATCCGACGTCATCAGTATTTAAAAAAGGCCCACGTATTCAGCAATATCCTGTCGCTACCTGACCATCATCACATGAAAGAAACAAATGAAAACCATGGAGGGAATGTTGCATATTTGCTTATTCAACATAATATCGGACAGAATTGAACAGAATTCACAAAAGAATCACAAAAAAATTAAAACCAAGTTGATTGCGTTATCTTTCCAGTCTACCAAGGTTAAGATTAGAGAGCAATGATTGTGATCTAGTATGTACACACTAATTCTATTTTCCAGAAAGGGCTGTTGACTTCTGTATGCTGGTCAGGCTAGTAACACACCAACACTCTTCCGAACAAAACTTCGACAAATCCTCTCGCTGCTAATCAACTACTGTACAAAGCCCTGTCTACTGCGAGACCTAATCTTCTCCAACATTTCCAACTTCGACTGTCCTCCACATCCTGGAATCGAGGGCCGTATCTCAGAAAACTTCTGGCGGCAAAGCCCATCAACATGGATGGATCCATGTGGCCTTGTATCCTCTTCACCGCTCCATGATAAATATCTGTGAGAGTAACTTCACTTTCGCTTTCGGGATAATGCTTGGTATTCACTGGCTCAGGTTCCAATTTGTTTGCTTCTATATCTTCTTCGGTACGATGGGTCACGTCGGAAAATTTCACAGATGTGCCTTGAGTAACCCCACTCATAGAAAACCTGCTTCTTCGTTCTGAATCCGACTCGTTGGAAAGGAAACCCTGAGCTTCCCAGTCCACATACTGCCAAATACCATCTACGTTTTCGACCATATGCACTTTCATCCTTGAATCCCGACTTCTGTTGGTAGCAACAAGCTCGTCCAGCTCTTTCTTCATAGTCCACATCCTCTTCTCAATGCGCAAAGCTATTGCATCATACAACACAGCTTTGGGCAGGCCCTCCTCACTGTGCTTCTGTACCAAGTCGTCTAACTCAATTGGATCGCCAACAATGACGGTGACCTACAGCAAAGAGCAGATGAATATAGTGAATCGATGAATGGCCTCATTGCGCCAAAGCCACTTTCATGACAAACAAAGACACAAAAGCATCAGTTCAGAATAGAAAACGTGCATGACACTACATGAGCCACCCCACAGCACAAAAAGTCTGTCGGAATTTGATACCTTCTTGCCCATCGAAAAGTGCTTCTGGCCAATAGGCATGACGTCTTCCATGCCAGAATGGATGAAAGGTACCACCAACGGCAAACTCTTGGCATCAAGAACGAGTCTGCAAACGAAACAAGGTGGAGCCTCAAAACACTCTCAAAGTTCAACTTGCAAACTTGGAGATTTTAGCTTAGAAGTGGACAATTTCTGCAGAGGTTCAAGTCAGACCATAAGCAGCATAGAATATTAATTCTTCATTATTGCCTCAAAATATTTGAACATAGGGTGATCTTCCAATTGCAGATCAGGCAGCTAACATGCTCTGAACGCATCACATTCTTGTTATCTCTTTCTGGAAAAAGTTGTTCATGTTTCAATTTATATAAAGAAAAGTCAACTAAAGGCTTCCATTACCTGCCTACCCCTCTTTTAAAAAGAGCAAGATTTCCGTCCCGAGAACGGCTTCCCTCTGGAAAGATATGAACCCAGTCTCCACGGTTCAGCTTAGAAAGTGCTACTTCCATACCCTGACAACAAGAGGAAAAGTTCGTCAGTTTACTTCAGGAGAACAACAACAGGAGGTAACATGACGTCCAACACCAGCATGAACTACTGACGCAATGATCAACAGCTCTGCCTCGAACATTCATCAAAACTTCGGGTCACCTCATTTCCAACCTAAGTTTCGAAGGTTGGACTAATCATACCTCCTGAAATACTCCGTGTCCCTTCGTCAGTGGCAAAACTTTCACACTTCGGAAAAAGGCAGATGTTGCGGCGTTCCCAAAGCATTTATCGGACGCACATAAAGTCCATCTCAGATGTTTGGAATTCAGCAACTTGTGGGGTGCGAGTATAGACGAGATCACAAAAGGATCGTCCACTGCAGCTGCATGATTGCTAACCTGCACCCTCCGACAAAATAATGTTACGTTCCAGGCTTTGTGAGACTGCAACGGGACAACATTTAAGACATTGTCAAGTAATTCCTTCAAAAAGATAAAATCGTCATTCTCGCCACGCAACGTACCGTGATCAATGGCTGACCCGGTGCTCGATTGAATACAGCATTCTGCATCTTCTCGGCACCATAAACCTGGCAAAGTTCCACTCGAAGAAGTCACTAACATGCTAAGCTGAAGGGCCCAAATGCAATTCGGACTTTGCGATATATATATATACAGAAACACGGAATGGTCGGGCAGAGTCTCCGAAAACCGCTTCGGCTCGGGGAGAATCAAAACCTAGAAACGCATAAACTTGCACATTGAGGAGTGGAGCAGAAAGTACCTCAGTGGAGTTGAATCCATGCATGAATATGTGACATGCATTTCCAATAAGGGGGATCGCAAGGGCCTGCATCAAGCGTAAGAGTCGAGAATCTTCCGCCACTTCTGTTACAACTCCGGGCGTGAGGATTGAGGCTGGAGAGTAAAGAAGACAACGTCATGAGAGTCTTGACAGAGGCAATCTGTGAGAGAGGCAGCTATGCAGCCGCTCCCAATTTAGAATCCGATAGTGGGATCCTTGCAATTGCAAAAGGCGGAAATTAAGATAGAAGCAACCACATCTCCTCGTCATCAAAATCCCAAGGAGAACAAACGACAATCTACATGGAACAAATCCAGCTCTCCGATGAAGGGACTTCTTTATCCAAAGGTACACACCTTCATAATTAGGAAGGCCTCCATAGAGAGATAGCGAAACTTCATAGTCGCCGTACTCTGCCTGCAGTTTTGAATTCGAATTACGCGAGTCCAGAGATGTAACGAGGACATCAGAACATGACGCCTGTGATTGAGCTACAGAAGCCGTAGAGACTGAGCCTGCAAAGATACGGAAATCAGGCAACAGATTACCAAGCCTTCTCATCCGCCTTTGCCATTCGTTCTGTGCCATACTCTTGGCGACGCGAGCCAAGACAATGTTCCCCTGGAAAACACGCGCAACTACCAGTCCAGTGGCGGTGGCCCTCCAGCCAACACCCGTTTGTCTCTGCGACTGCCGGAACAAGCTCTTAGGAACGCACGCAACGCGAAACCTTGCTCTGACTCGCTCTCTCAAAGACCTCATGTTGGCTCGCAACTGAGTGATCTTCTGCTGCCCCAGCTCCAATCCTCCCCGATCTTCCATCGCTTCTCAAGTCTCTGGAAGGTCCAGATCGTGAACAAAAAATTGTCGGTCGAATTCTCCGGCTCAAACCTACGCTACTGGTCCTGACACTCCATCGTCCAGCTCCTACATCATACGGACCGCCATTCAAAGATCGACCTCATAACCACAACCACCAGAGCCTGTACCAAAGCGAGAAATCGATCGTCACCAGCCCAGCCTCGTCTCTCTAATCCGTCCGGCCCTTAAACCTTCCGCGACATTCGCCCCTCCTCCTCCTCTTTCTCCACTCCCTCTCCACTTGTTCACATTCCATATTCAGCTCACACGGACCAGAACTGGCCCACTCCGAAGCTCCCGTCGAGATCCATACAACATTTCTATTCGCGATCCGATCTACCGACAGGCCTCGCCAATTGCCCGGCCAGGTTCTCGATGCCCGCCCGAGGAACAAGCTCTCCCGCGAGTCCCATAAACCCTAACCTACTACTCCTCCTCCTCCCGTGCTCCTCCGACTCGACCTCGAGTCTTCTCTCCCTCCGACTCCTCCTAGACCGTCTTGCACGATCGTCCCATAAACAAAAGTTCGTATGTCCACCGTCGATGTGCATCCACGCAACTACTCCCCTGCACATTACGCACGACCGTCTGCCTGACGTCATCTGATAATGTTTCCTAGTCAGTTGCTTTGGAGCCACGTAACTGTCGCTCGATGCCGAGCTGGAATTGCCCCGGACTGCTGCCCTGTAAATCTTTGTCCTGATAGCCAGAACCGGGGCAATTAATTCCTGTGTACACTATATTATAGGAATTAACATCCTACTGTATATATTATAGGAGGAATATTCCTCTTTTCGGCAGCGCTTTTACACGACTAGCTCTTTTCCGATGGTAATTGCTGGAGCTCCAGATGCTGGGAAGGGTAAGCGAGTAATCCGGGACAGATGCCACTAGTTTAAGAGGTGGCGATTTGTTTTGACTCCGGTTGACAATGCGTGGACACTTTTGCTCTAGAAACCTGGAAGGCAGCGAATTCGTTAGAAGTAAGATGGACAATTGTAATTAGCGGTGTGTTTTTTACATCCATTTGATAACTCGTTGTTCCTTGGATGATGTTTTCTGTTTCATCCGTCGAGATTTTTATGCCGCATTTAAAACAAAAATTAGATATTTGTTTTGACACAGTTTCTACAAATATTTGCAATCCTTTTTATTGAAGAATTGAATCTGTGCTGAACAATACAACATGTTTAGTATGAATGTTTTCTTCTGACATACTAAATTATTCATTACATTCTTCTAAAATTAACCATTTTGGAACAAAATATGAAATGAAAGTTGTTCAACTAATCGATCATATACAATACAGTTACATCACAAGGCATTGATTTAAGTTTCTTTTTAACCTTTTTGGATAGTATTTGTTTATCAAACTCATAAAACTTCATTGCATGCATAAGATTGTGCAATATGTTATGAGATCTCTTTCCAACTCAACTATAGACTAAGTTTGAACAGACGATCGAGTCTGACAAACCTTCGCCTTCTCTGCTTTTCACGCATTATGATATATTCGGATCAGTTTCAGTACCATCTTGATTTCTCTACCTGAGAGACGGGACGGGAACAGACTCTCGAAGTCAGACGAGATAGATTCTCGGGCTGAAGCATCGGCCGTTTCGCAGTGTGTATTTCGAACTGTTTATGACTGCGTTTGACAATCTGAGAAGGTGCGATCGTGGCTGTTGGATTATAAACAAATTCTTTTCATCGATATATGCAGCGATTTCTTTTCCCGTCTATAATCTGTGACAATGATTTCTCCTCTATCCAGCCAACAGACAGCTTAAGATGATTAACATTATCTTCATTTTCTATAGCAGCATTGCTTATGTTACAACATAGGCAATGCTGCTATGGAATATGAACATACCTGCTGGATTCTCCTGGATGAAGATATCTGCGGCATTCTTCTGCTCGGTCCCAACGACTGATTCGATTTCTTCTTGCACCCTCTTCATTTTCTCGGGCTCTTTAATGAGTTCAGTCAGAGCGCACTCGATCGAAGTAGAAGACGTATCCATTCCTGCAGTCAAAATATCCCCATAAAGCAAAAAACTAGAGCACACACCACCGACAAACCTCGACCATGGAAGAAAGAGAAGTGCATTGCACAGACACAATTCCACAGATCATAACTGTTGCCGAGACTCTGAGCTACAAGCTACTAACCAGCATGACTGCTACCACTTTCACATCACTCAGCTTTCCATCCTTGTCGGCTGGAAGAGACAGCAGTACGTCCAACAAGTCTGTGGACTGTGCCGGCTCCCTCTTCTGCTTCCGATGCTCGTCGATCATCTGGTAAGCAACGTCGTCGAATCTTCTACCGCAGCTCTCATGCGCTTCTCGTAACCTTGCAGGTCGAAACGTCGGAGGCTTGGGGAATAGTCACCCAGATTGTTCACGATGCCGGACAGGACGAAAATCTCCTGAATTATGTCGCGGAATTTCTTGGTTTTAATTTCCCGTCCAAATTAGCAGGGAGAGAAATGAAGATGGTACTGAAACTGATCCGAATGTATCATAATGCGTGAGAAGCAGAGAACGCGAAGGTTTGTCAGACTCAATCGTTCCAGATGCTTACGTCTGTACTTTTCATATTGTACGATCATATACCATACATTTACAACAGAATGCATTGATTTAAGTTTCTTTATAACCTTTTTGGATTGTACTTGTTTATCAAGCTCACAAACCTTCAATGCATGCGCAAGATTGTGCAATATGTTCTGTGATGTCTTTCCAACTCAACTATGAAAGCTTTTCTTCAATATCGAAGAATAGCTTTGGAAGATTGAACCAATTTCACATCAATATCATCATTGATGATAAAAATTCTGAAATTCTACGTTGATAAGTCATCAATATCTACATTAGCAACAATACTTGAAAACTTATATTGACATTACATAAACAATGTGATATCAAGTGTTAATACATATTTTGAAAATTTATTCTTTGATATAAAATATCAAATATAAATCATTTTAGCAAAAATTTATGCACATAAAAGATCTTGCAAATTATTAATTTGAGTCAAAATTTGTGACCGAAATGAATTTAAAATCTCTAAAATTATATTCTAATCTGATATATAACATATTTTAATTTACACAACTAATTTTTTAATCTTCAATTTCGTCAAAATGAGGTAATGATTTTGTTTAAAATTATATAGTGAAACAATCACATAGATTGTAAAGTTCTTTAGCAATTTTATATACAAATATATATATTTTTAAATAATATTTCATTTATTACAAATTAAAATAATAGCTTCATCAATTTTTGAATATTTTAGATAAATTTTAATAATAAAATTATCATTTATGCATAATTTTGAAAATAAATTAGAATAAGTTCAAAATTTGATAAAATTATTCAAATATATGAATGAATTTAAATATTTAAAGATCAGATTTTTTTAATGAATAATACATTAAATCAATGGTAATGAAAATTCGATATACTAATATTAGAACAAAATCAGTTATTATTGAAGCATACATGTTGGACATTTATGAAACAACATACAAAATGATGTTATAAAATCTACGAGCACATTGAAATTAAAATTCTATTAAAACTTAAATCAAAACTAGATGCATGATATAATATAATTTATATAAATTTATATTTATTTTTGATATATATGCTATTTTATTGCAACACATGTTCAATAACACAATGTTTATTTTACAATGTGTCAATACTATTTAACAACTAAATAAAATTTTTAATGCTCTTGATGGAATAAAAGAAGTTTAAAATTTTTGTTGATTATGTTAAATTTCAAATAGATCTTATATATAATTGCCTCAATTTAACATATTTTTATTTTCTTATATATATATATATATATATGATCATTCATAGCTAATGCATGTAGTTATGCATTATTGTAATGATAACACCAAGGCTTGTAAAAGATTGTTCCACTATCAATCAAAAGCTTTTATTGCAAACTTCTAGTTCAAGAGAAATTATGTTAGCAAAAGTTTTTTCTTCTGGAATCTAGATTTTTGCATAAGATAAAATAGAATGCTCACTCAAATTTTTTAGAATCTCTGTAATCATTCCACCAAATATAAACATTATAGTTAAACATACTTATAATTTGATAAACATAATTATAACTAATTATGTTAATCATAACTAAGTTAATCATGATTAATTACTTGACTAATTCTAGTTTTATTTCACATATACAATATACGGTCTCACATTTTAGAAACTTTTTTTTCATCAAAAAATTTTTTAATCAAATTGTGTAGCATTATATGAATCATGAACATTGCTTGATGAACATTGCTTGATGACTTATTGTGTGTGAATTCATAAACATACAAAATTTGTTGGATAATTTTGATTGCTTATTCATTGTAATTAGATTTTTGTACCATAATCTACTTGCATGCTTGATCTTTTAAGCGTTATTTGGATACATACAAAAAATCCTATTTTGTGATCTTTGTACTAACATTTATTGAACATTATTTCAAATAATAATCTGATAATCCATTATGGTTCTAGAGTAGAAAGATTCTTCTACATGACCCTGTTTTTAACATACTTTCACACAATCTTTCCACTAATCTATTAATTTACAACATCATCTGCATTCCAACATGAAAGTGTAACTCAAGATTTAATTCACAAAACAAATTTTCAGACAATAAAAACTTGTAAGCTTGCTTGAAATTATTTTTTTATACATCTCTACTATAGCAACATATGTTAATTATCAATTATATTATTTGAACTAGTACTTATTACGTGACAATATGTCATTGATTTTTCCAAACCTTCTAAAAATTTTCTTGTAGTTGAGTTAAAACCGTAACATGTCATTTAAACTTTTAAAATTCTAGATCTTACAAATTTCACTAAGTGAACTTTTGACTTGATTGAACTAATGAAATTTTTTTTAATGTAGTCAAACCAATCAAAATTGACATGTAATCAAGTAATTCTTTTCTTCTAATCTAGACTTTAATGGAAGACAAAATAAGAATGTTCAAGTTTTTCAAAATTATACTAATTTTTTTTTTCAAATATAGATATCATAGCCAAATTTAGTCATAACTAGTTAAAGGTAGTCATAACTAAACTAACCATGATCGACTCTTTGGATAATTCTACTATTTCACACATATAACAACTGATCTTACAATATTCTTAAGATCTATCATGAATATTTGAAGAACAATTTTTAATTTATCTGTGGATATATCTTTTATGCTACGAATCTTTCAATGTTATTCTTGTGAAAAATCAACATTTTGAAAATTGTGTATTAAAAATCTCCTGCATTATAATCCATCAAATTGACACATCTTGTTTTGAAATCATTCATTTACATAGTGTATCATGTGAATATCTTGTGCATAAGATAATATCTTATAATCATTCTTGCAATTAAATCAAAATCATGGATGTCAAACAAATATATTTATCATCATGATCAAGCCACCTAAAATCTTCATTGTTCTATTTCCCTTATATGTTTCAACCTTACATGAATATCACATTTAAAGTCACTTGATGACACTAAAGTCTAGATTATATCAGTAATCAGGCATTTATATCATTCAAAAAAGAAAATTTATTGCTAAGAAAACATGTTATGGCATCAAATTGCTTTTGGTGGGAGATCTTATGATATATATATATATATATATATATATGTGTGTGTGTGTGTGTGAGCTCATATCTTACACTTTCAAAAAGTTATACTTTATATACTTAAGCAATAATTATTTTGAGATTTGTATAGCTTGATTTTTTAATCAAAATATTGAGACCTTTGTCACTTCCAAACAAATAAAAGTCTGAAGAGGAGATCTGAACTGGCAATTAACTAATGTATGTATGAGATGAAATAATGGTGATCAATGCATATGTGGAAACTTTGAGATAATTTGTCAACTAAAGAGTAGAAAAATCATCTGATTATAGTATATACTCCATATCAAAATAGTTTTGTTCATGAAATGAATTGAACACCATTGGAATGGACAAAACGCATGTTGATCCAACCAGTATGTAATATACAAGTTATAGATTAGCTATCAACACTTGAGCTTATTTGATAAATTTGTTCCTTTACAATGCAATTAGATTCATGACGTGGATTGAATGTATGTACTACAGCCAGTGGATTACATTCTGTAATTAGTCCCTCATACATAAGAAAGTAGATTTAAGCCCCAAACAAAGGTAATTTCTGTTGGATACTGAAGTGGTATGAAAGGTATAAATTGTGAGATCCACTAGATCATCTTCATGAATATTTGATGATGGATGAAGATGATCACATGAAGATGTGGGTGATGGGCAGTATTATTATGATGATAATATAGATTAGATCTTGGGAGAAGTGAATCTTCTTCATACGATGAGACTCAAACTTGGTCCGAATCCAATCAAAGTTTATAAATAAAAGTGTCTAAATGCAAACCGTTAGCTTTTGATTGTCTTTCGATCAAAGTCTACCCAACTTCTGCTGTAACTGTCGGTTGCTTTATAATAGAGACATGAGGTATCACTCAACTCTCATATTAAAGTCGATGTACATCTAGTCTCTCCATGCTAGTCTTACTCCTGCCGTCTTCTCCTAACAATCCAGCCTACTCACACTCTCCCATTAAGGCAATAAGGTTCACATGTCCATGTGCGCTTCATTTCCTCCCGAAGAAGATACTTCATAGGCCACATGTGGATTACTGTCCTTATTGTATTCAAATTTCACAACTTGAACGCGTCCTTCAAGTCTTTAAAAGCAAAAGAAATAGAAATATAGTACCAAAACTCTTAACTATGCTCTAACAGACATTGCCTCATGATATGTAAATGCTACAAAGTAGCCTTATAATATTGACAAAGGAACTTGAACACCATGCGTAGTTTATGTGTATTCGCGTTTCATATTAGGAGTGACCTATGGTATGGAGGATGCAAGTTCAGTAAACTAGTTATCTACCGCTACCACGCATCCAATTTAACCCCCTAGCATGTTGTCCTTACTTATCATATACACTAAAGAAACAGCCACTAAAGCCAGCCCATTCAAGGGTCATTGGAGAAAAGAAACTTGCGCCTTTGCGCCAAATCTGCAGCGCTAACTGAAGGTTGGTTGAGAAGGGATATGGCGCTAGAGCGGAACACGTGCCCGCCTCAGTTGCGCCGTGTCTTAGAAGCAGTCAGTGAACATGGACGGAAGCATGGGCTGGCGCTTAAGTCTCTTCGTGACTGGCTGGCATCACCGGGTCAACCAACGATTCCAAAGCGGGCTCTCAGATCTCGTGAGTCCGTGGTCTGGACCTGAATCCTCGCAGTTCGCGCGGCAAGACCGACGTCTGGCTCGTAGCTCATGCCACAACGCAAGTCGCGAGCGGTGCCCTCCCTCCCGCGAATGTAATGTGGCGCCAACGCGGCGTCTCGACCGTCCGCGTACCGACTGCGTTCGAGAACCACGGCTTGTTTCGGGAGGATGTGTAGGACAGCAGCGTCGCAGATTTCGGGCTGCCCGAGGCGAGAAGGAATACCAGAGTACGGAACTCGCCGAGGAATCAAGTGTTCACGATCACGACGGCCGGACGCGACGTGTGGAGGGCATTGAGCTTCAGATTCTGTACCTTTCGCGGTTCTCGTGGATGCACTGATGTTGTAACTATATGCGAGATTGAGTACTGCAGTCGATATTGGTTTAAACAATCGTTTTCATGTTCGGCCTACTCCGATTCTCTGATGAACGTGGCTCGTCGAGCTCGGGCAATTTTCACCGCTGACTTCAGATTAAGGATTTGGGACTGTAATCGAGTGGGCGACAGTGTCTCCGGGCGGGTAGGACACGAAACTTCACGAAACACGAAGCATGACCATGTCTTCGGAGGGTGGAAGTAATATTGGGGAATTTCTCCTTTGTCCACTCTTGCTGCAATGCACTTCGTGACGGAGAATATCCTCGAACGCCTACTGAAATTCAGGTTCACATATCAATCAATTTCTAATTGCAGGCGATCGGAGGACATGATTCTTAGTTTCCGCGGTTACACGCCTTAAGATCGCATGGGTGATTGAACAGAAGACAATGACCAGTCAAGGCTCCCACTGGGGTTCGATAAACTCATATATTCGTCTGGAAAACACGTCGCTGAGGGATGGACTGCATAATGAGTTTCATGAAGCCAGTGCATGACTGGAGTTGATGCTCCGGCGCAGACATTTTAGAAATCGAGTGGGAATCGACTTCGGAGAGACAGAAGCTACGACTTCTTCAGCGCTTGCGGAGCGCCGAGTCCAAAGCCTAGATCCATTAATTTGATTACATATTGTTGTCGTATGACTAGAGAAGAGAGTGGAAGCAACAAAACGTATGCAGATCGCAATCGTAGTGTGTCCGCAGCTCTGGATCATTACACAAATAAATCAGAAAAATACATTTTGGACAAGTTCGACTTCAAGATTTGGCCTCCAGACTCGGCGCGGACCGGCTTTACTTTCAACAGACGTGTTGATGATGTGCACAGTCTCCTTGACATCAAAAAAGACCTGTACATTTCAATCAAAACCCATCAACCGCATAACCTAGACATACGGTACGTCCTCATATGAAGTCCACCACTACCGTTTTAGATGTCTTGTTCCTCGAACTCCTTTCTTGCGTGCTGCAATTGCTTCAGAGCGAGCTGGATCCTCTTCTCTAGTAAATCCATCTCCTCGACTCGGAGCTCGCGCCAATCTCTCTTGAGCTCCCCTGCCACTGCGCTGTCGGGAGCGTTCGCTGTGGCCCGACTAGTCAAATCGTCAAGAATTCCTCTATCTAGAGATAAGAGACTCGACCCATCCACCTTCCACATTCCGGATGCGGGCCCATTAGCTCCAAGCCGAAAGTTGCCGCCCCTCAGGTCGTCCAGCCCCTGCTTGCGTAGGACATTTACAGCATCCATGCATCCAGCCCGAACCTCTTGAAGAAGAGCAAAGCTCTCTTTCCTCAGAGATCTCATCAGATCACTCATTACAGAGGAAGTCGGTGGTAAACCTTCACGGTCGTTCTCGTCAGCAGATAATTCTGCGCCGCTTTGCTCAGCAATAGAGCCATCGTCACCTCTTCGCACTTTCTTCTCGTCTTTCTGAAGGAGAGGCGTGTACTCCAGTCGGGGCTTCGGGATGAAGGCTGAGAGCTCAGCTTCGGTCGAAGGTCCAGCAAGGCCCGCCACTTCTTTCTTAAGAGCAACTTGAGGCTCTTCCTCGTCGTCAGATTCTTCCTCTGATTCGGATGACTCTTCCTTCCTGCTCGCTGGTGGTGGCACTATGGTAGCTTTGACGGCCGGGGTGGCCACTTCATCTTCTTCTTCTTCGGAAGATTCTTCTTCCTCGTCTCCGTCATCCGGTACAGCTTGTGTACTCTGCGGACGGACCACATATTTTGCAGACCCCCATATACCGTCCCAGAACCTGTAAAGCTTCTCCTCATGCGGGTTCCTCCACGGACTATCCACGTCTCGGGCTTTTAGAGCGTTGTATCTGTTCCTCATCCGACGAACCTTTTCACTCAGCTGAGTCTCTGTCAAACTCGTTCCATCAGAACTTAAGTCTTTTACCAGTTTCGTCCAGTATGGATCTCCCTTGGTGCCTGGAACAGGCTTTCCCTTAATCTTGCCCTGATACAAAAGGCTACAAAGTGTTATTTCTAAGTCGTTGGTCCACGTGAAATGCGACTTCGCCTTCAGAGGGGAGTCCAATTTCTGAGGCTGCTGCTTGGCGGCGCCATTGGCAGGAGGCGAGGGAGCTTTGCGCTTCCGACCAGCGGCTGAAGCTTTCGCGGCCTCTTCTAGCTTCCTGACCTTCTCTTGCTTGGCCTTGGCTGCTGCGAGTGCTGCTGCCGCTGCCTTGCTTATTTTGCCAACAGGCTCACCTTTGGTCGGCCTCGTCGGAGAAGCAGGCTTCGCTGCTGTGCGACCTCTATCGACTCGGAGATCCCTGCTCTTCTTCGATGCAGGCTCCTCGTCCTTCCCTTCGCCTTCTCGACCCCTCTTCCCCGCGGGGTGGTTTGAGATGCCCGCCTTCAAAGCACCAACTGGACCCCCTTCCCTTCGCACAGTGTTGTATCGTTGCGCATCGTTGTCGGTCTCCGAGTCGTCTTCCTCCTCGGACGACTCCTCCTCTTCCTCCTGCTGATTCCGCTCCAGAATTTTGGCATCGACCTTGCCCCCCTTCAGGTTTTTCGGCTGTTCCGCTTCCTCCGAATCCGACTCTTCTTCTTCCTCGTCATCGCTGCTATACTCCGCATTTTTTGCAGTATTCGACATTGCCACGAACCAGCGCCAACTGACCAAATTCCCTCAACACCTCGTCCCCTCGCGAATCAGACACGACAAATCCTTCAACCCGTCCGACCTACCTCCGCTTCCACCAGCAGCGATCGTTACATCGTCGAAAGAAGTTTCAACGTGCAATCCTCGATTGGTATTCCCTCCTTTAACCCTCCTCCGTCGACAGACCGAGACTCGATTCCCGCTCGAAAGGAGCGAGCGACGCCCGCAAGACCTAATCCACCCTCGTTATACCTCCTCCTCTTCGTCTTCCTTCTCAATCCGAGGCCCCGACGCAGCGAGAGAGCTGGACGGTCTATCTCGGGACTCGACTCGCCGACCAATGCTCGCAGCCGCGACTCGAATCCTTGCGGACCTGATCCCCACAAGAACTTGCCAGCCGAGAGAGGCGACCGAGCCAGTTAAAGGCGGGGCGGCAAGGCACCGAAGGTATCATCTCCCAGACCTAGTGATCAGCCCCAGGGCCCAACCACGCCCTAAACCCATCCGCGCTCTGAGACGAGCGCGGACGGGCTGGCCAACCGGCCACCAGCCAGCCAGCCAGCCAGCCAGGCTCCCTGCCCTCCTGATCCATTGCGCTCGGACAACTTCCGTCGCTCGCGCGCTCTCCCGCCCCAGCCCCAGCCCCTTTCAGAAGTCCAGTCACTCACTCACTCACTCGGCCTCGGACTTGCGTCCGCTGGCTGGCTCGCTCGCTCCCACGGCGTTGGCGCAAGTCCAGGGGGGTGGCGCCGGTTCGCAGTCCAGCTTGCGCCGGCAATGGGTTCCGGGCGTCCGGGATGGAGCGCCGTTCGGGGTCGCTCGTGCTTGCGGTCCGTCTGAATCCGGCGCCAAGACCAGACGCGGCGACCGACCCCACCAGCCCCGACGCGCAGCGGGCGCGGCCGCGGCGCCTTCTTTGGTTCAAGTTGGACTTTCGCTATTGTCACCGCAATAGTGAGTGAGCGAGCGAGTGGCGTCGCGGCGTGGGCCTCAGCTCTCGCGGACAAGCGCCAACAGGAGATCCCGAAATATCGGGAATTTGAAATCCTTGCGCGGGCGGGTCGACGACTGGCCACGGACGTACTAGCCAGAGCGGAATAAAGGCCGCGAGCCAAAGCACCGAACGAAATGAAACGAAATTAAACTAAATGAAGTGACATGACATGAAATGAAGTGAAATGAAACAAGAGAAAAGGGAGACAGCATGACATGAGGAGAACTTGCGTCCGGCTGTCTAGACACATGCCAAACATGGCGTAGCGCTCGGTCCGAGCCTCTTCCCCGTCGAGATGTCGAGACAGCCAAAGAGGTTTTGGACGGTTCGGTGGGTATGGTTGGATTGGACGACGTGACGCAGTGGGAGGTCTCGCCAAGTGATCGGGGAGAGGAGCCTTCTTCGTGAGACCGGTCGATGAGCGTTACATATATTTCACTTCTTGCGCACGGAAATGGGATTTGGAGTTCTGCTGGAGTCGGAAAATGGATCATGCTTTTACGTGCTGGACTGGCCCGTGCTCCTCTATAACCCACTGTCAGTGGGCTATGGAGTCATAGCCTACTTGCCGCATTTGGAGCAATTTGAAGTCGCATTCAGTTGGCTAATGAACACAACTACGCTCATGTTCTCACCATTAATAATGATGAGAAATCACTTTCCACAGTGCAGTGTTCCAAAATGGTGACCGTTTTTTTTATGAACCGAGTACAAACACTTTGTAATGATCTAGGTTCACAAAAACCAAAAGTTATTTGTGTTCTTTCACTTTATGTGTACTTTTGTTACCAAGAAAGTTTGAGACGACCTTGATATTTAGAGTAGTTGAATAGGTTCTCATGTTTTCAAAGCTACCTGAGTTAAGCAAGGAGACAAATTACTATAACTCATCAGGTGTCCATAATTGAGTGACTCCGATAGTTTCTCTAGTAAAGCCACCTAGATAACAAAGATCTTTTTGTTGGAAATAAAGAACTTTCTGAACACAAAATATGGTAAATTCGGAACTCTAGAGTCCCATTGCCGTATTTAGAGAGGCATATTGGTCCATTATGCAGTGTTCTTACTAATGTAGTCCCTCAAGCCATTACAAGTTCAACCAACCAAACGCAATAAGTTTGTGCACTATCTCATGACGTAGTGATCAATCCATTAGCATTTAAGCCTTTACTTCCAGATGGTGAAGAACGATGCAAGGTATTGAAGGCACTTGTAGCGCAGATCTTCCACCTAGTATTGGATGACCCACTTCGTGCACAAAGGCATGTTCTCATTCGACTCGGTGCTGTGATCCCGTGCAGCATGCCCTCGTCCTCCTCGAGTCGCCGAGGTCTCTTATGCGCTGACCAATAGTGCGCATAATAAGGTCTTCAACGGACAAGAGTAGCCCCATAGCGCTGAGTGGATGCGACATAGGTATGCTGCGAGTTTCGCCGGACGGGGCAAATATTGGGTGACGACATCGATTACACCGTTCAGACCATGAGGGGCGATCGGATCACGATACACCAAATCCTTTTTTATTGCTCTTTGTCAAAAGCAATCATATTTCGCAAGTTCCACAGAATGAACTCAGGTTGCAATTGGAGTGACATCATGGGCGGGTCTTCTTTTCAGGTGAAACATTCAAAAGGTTTTGGAGATTACTTGTAACTTTTTCATCAAATTTCTACTTATTCATTATCACTATCCTTACGGTGCTTTGCTTACTACTGAAAGTTTATAGGATTATCTAATTTTCCCCTCCAAATATCGGAAGAAATTTATAGCTGTATGTTTTGGTGCAAATCCAAGTTCGCGCTAGCCTGCACCAATGATGATTTAGATTCCGAACTTCATGGATGTAGGTTACAATGGTCTAATGCAAAGTAGGTCATTGGTTATTGATGAACTCCTCCAAATCTTGTTGTTTTTTTTAGACCACAAGCAATAAAGAACACTATTTCAACTTTTAAAACTCCTTTATAGACCTGTATAGACATCTTCCTGCATTTTACAAGCACCATATCCAATATCCATGTTATACTTTATCCAGCATGTCCAAGATGGATCTTTGCATCAGAATTTGTCTATTGCACCTTAACTTTACTGTTTAGGAAAGACAAGCTAATGGAGGGTTTCATAATAGTTTCATGAATTGTTTACACTGTAATCAAATATGATCATTGTGCCTGCAATTGTGGCCTGACTGAAATTTTAATGAGATTGAGTTATGCACTCTCTACATGTGTAGATTCCTCTAAATAACAACAATCATGCATCAACTCATTAATAAAATTATAGCAACTAGCTGAAATTTGTGAAATTTTCACCTAGTGCAATTCGTCTTCTTTCTTCAGGATCACTACAGACAATATGGGAAGCCTGAACATACCGATTTTGCAATAACATTAAAATTTGCACTTAGAAGTATACCTTGTCAAATTCACAAACCGGAAGAGAAATTGTTTGGAATGATCATTAGCCATGATGCATGTGTATTGTAATGATGACTAATTATGACTTTTTAAAGTATTTAAGAGTGATAGACATTCTCACAGCTCGGCTAACTTCCAAAATAGATTTACATTTGAAGTTCTTGAACTTGCAAGTATTTACATGGTCAAATATGGCTTCATGGTTTATATATATTTCTTTAAGTGTTTATTAATATAATCTATTATTTACAATAATTCATGTAATTGTTAAAAAAAACTTAAGATTGAAGATATATATAATTTTGTGGCCTAATTATTTATTCTGATTAATCTTTGATCAAACACTTGATCATTCCATAAATTGACAAAAATGGAAAGAATATAATGTTAAATGTCATAATTAGATATTTCCTATTCAATACTTTTGAATAACCAAAAATTATCATTCATGAATGAGGATATATTTATGATGTCATTTGCTCTTAAGGTAATCACACATAATACATTGTTTTAAATTTCATCACTAGATTATTAGTATAAAAAAATTAATGTTTATAACTTTATCTTGACTTTTTATTTTCTAAAGTTGTAAAGTGAATTTCAAATCAAATTTCTTTAGAAATTATGGCTCTAAATTAATTATCAAACTACAATTTATAGACTTCTTACACTTATAGAGTAACACAAATGCATCTATTTGTATGATTAAAAACAAATCATTGATAATTTGTACTTTGACTTTCCACTCATACACATGAAGAGCTTTCATATTTACATTCACAAACATGTTGTTAGGTTAAACTCTAATCTTGGATTAATTCCAACTAGTGTTAACCATGGTTAGGGAAGTTAGCTTTGATTAGGTATGCAAAGATGAGCACATTATCTTTTCTTGTATAGAAGAGATCAAGAGCTATTCACTACAAACAGTTTAGAGTTGCACTTTGACAAAGAGCAGAAAGGAGGAGAGCTTAGCTATTTAGGCCGTGTATACACATGTGCTTTAAAGAAGTTTCTACTCTTGTCCACGGACGTAAACTGTGGAAGATGAACCTCGTTATCTCAGTGTTGTGAACGTGCTGATCACTATTGATGGTTGGGCCTTTCAATTGATATCAGAGCTCACCAATCCAAAACAAATTTCTGATTTCCACCGTTTTTTTAGAAACCAAGGAGCACGGAAGCGATGTTAACATTTTTACTCGCAATTTGAAGTAATTGTTGGCTAAGTCTTTGTAGAAGAATAGCCACATGCATTGATTACAATTTGGTGAAACAAGTAAATAGTTTCATTAAGTGATCTGAGAGATTTTTGAAATTTGGAGCAAAGAGATTTCTTACATTCTACAATCAAAGAAATTGCTTTGGTTTCTCAAAATCTTAATTTTTCATCACTGTATTTTCCAATCTTTCACACATATGCTTGATTTACTCTCCGAGACAATTGTTTTGATTCAAATTTTATTGAATTTTGTTGAGAGTTTGCGAAGTTATGAGTGTTTGAAGATGGCATCAAACTCAACTATGGTGATCTCACAAAGACAAGAATTCAAAGTGACGAATCACAAAGTTAGGATTTGAGAAATTTTGGCCAAAACTTTGGATAACTCGGATCGGAAGGCAAATAAAGTGTAAATGTATGCTCCACAAAGCCTCCTATGAAGAATCTTGGCGAAAAGAAATCAAACAGAGATTTTTTTTGGCAATTTTGGTGGAATAGATCAAGCAAACTATGCATGTTTGAGCTCAAATTTTGCAAGATGATTTTCAAGCAAGTTGAGCACGCGATACAAAAGACAGTTTTGAAAATAAAATTTGTGTAGATTTTAGTAGTAAAGATTACCTTGGGGTGTTCAAATTCAAGCTTTTACCTCCTTTAATATTGGGGTTAATAACTTTTTATTTAGAAATATTTTTTAACAAACCGTTTTCACAGTTCAATGGATTAGTTTGTAAACTACGCGTGAATAGTATCTGATTTCAATTCTGAAATCTTTCCATTTTTAGACAATTTTTGAGGCTAAGTG